AGTCAGACGAGGAATAAATACGTCTTGAGACGGGATGAAGTACGACGCCGGTTTTGGTACTACTGCGACTACGACTTACTACCTTACCCCATTTCTATGAAGGAATGACAGGTCGTAAACGGATGATTTCCGACTACTCCGTGGGACAAAGGAATGATCATCATACTATATACTGTGTGGGCATTAGGCACGAAGCCGGCGTTGTCCCACACTGACACAGCGGCCGTGAATAGATAGATAGTTTAGTTGGTTAGTTGGTTAGCCCGAAGGACGTGCTGACTGCTGACACCCGACCGTTGATGCCGGCAAGCTTGAGTCCAGACCAAAGGAGCGCTAAATCCGAGTGGGAATTGCCTGTATCAGTTTAGGCTGACGGGTTAGTTGAGGGCAAAGTGGTGCTCGGTCGAGCCTAGGATGTCATCCTTCTCCAGGATGCCCTTTCGAACAAAGGGAGTCTCATTCAGCTGGAGACAAGGCTTGTTCATCCGCCAGGCCTAGAAACAACACGTGCCTGTCGCTGTATGCGGGACTAATTCTGGGAGGGGTTGGCTTGCGAACTAAACGAGGGTCAGTGCTACTTCTTCCCTGTCACCTTGCTTTAGCGAGTATATTTCTCCTTAGGTTTCGAGTAAGTCGGTTTGTAGATCCCATGGTGATCAGATGGATACCACAGGGCTCAGATACTAACAATGTGGCTAGGACCGAGGGAAAGGCCAACATCAATGCATCCGTTCTGGAGCCAGAACATCAAAGCAATCCCCGAAAGAGGGGGTGATTGTGTGCTAGACAGGCAGTATAGTACGCGCCTAGACTAGCAGCAGCACAAGAACGATAACGGGATCTGCTCTGGCTCACACTTACTAGAACCGAACAGGATTGACTCCGAAATTACTTTGACCTCATTAATTCATTCTGGCGGATGGCAGGCTCAGGAATCCCCACCGCTAGGCACTAAAATTGTTAGATTCCGTCTCTCATCCATCGCCCGTTCTTAAGGACGGGATGCTCGGCGACCGCACGGCGTGAATCACTTCCACCGCGACAGCTCTCCCCCCCACATAGGAAACCGCAGCAACGCGGGACGGCTCGAGTCACGACTGAACCTGAGCCCGCTCAAGGCTAGCCGTGTTCTGTTCTAGTCTGCCCCTGTGCCAGCGGAAGGGAATGGATAGGAGGAGGCGTTCCACGGCTAGACGTGGATTGACCGACCGCGTCGCGTCGGGGAGGGAGAGAGGATCCGTCTGTCGCGGGCGTGGATGAATGCAGGACTTTCAGTAGGATCGTGGGTAGGGATCGTGTAGATGACCCGATACCTAGCTATAGTAGCCTTATTATCTCAGGGGGATAAGGAAGGGGATGATTCCATCGTGTCTGTCCCCTTTGGAAGGCAGTTTGCTTCTTTCTTTTTCGTTCCTGCGCGGCTGCCTGAGATCTCAGGAACCCTCACGTGTCGGATCAGGTGGTTTGAGCTGTTTGGCTGGCCATCCCAAGATATACTTTCTTCATCACTTCCTTGGATTTCATTTCCGACCATCACATCACACTGATCGTCCTCCTTGCTCGATCTTGCTATTCGCCTCCTGTATCTCCTCCTCCTGCTGTTTGTCTACGAGCAATGTGCCACGGCCGGCTCTTCCTCCTGGCTAACTGCACGCCCGCCAATAATCCCTTTACCCTCCCGCCCCATCGGCCCACAATCGAGCACATCTGGATCTTCGGTCGCTAATAGAGACGTGAAACAGAGCGAGCTGTTATTCCCATGGTACGCCGTACTCGCTACTCAGTTTGCGGAGAATCGGCCATCTATCTGAGAACCTGTGGAACCGTGCTGTCGACAGAGCATTTACTGGATCAATCTGATCAAATCACAAATGTGGAGCCCTCTTCCCGGTAGTTGAGATCGAGTGCTCGCATCTGGTCTATGTGACTGCTCGTGGCCTGGAGTACACACCAGCCGTCATGATTGACAGGATCTGGCTCCTCGTGCGCCTAGATCGACGGCCATTGTATCCTGGCTCACAGTGCATGACAGCGCACGCTCGAATGGCTGATCAGATCCACAATGACTTCTACACTGACATTTCCGGTGACAGCATATCGAGCACGGAGTAGATAGATCAAATTCATGCTCCCTGACACTAGGATGACCGATTCGCCGACAACGCACAGCAGACTAAGTGGATCCTCATCGCCAATTATACCTCTTCAGACCAAAGAGCGAATTAGCGGTATATCCTTCCAGTCATTGCCCCGTGCCTCTCCACTCATGTTCTCAATGCCTTGATTTTCGCACGAGCGCACGGCCATCTGAAGAGCCAGAATTAGCATCATACAAATGGCTTAACAAAGTACGTCCAACTTGCTTTTTGGCATTGGAACGCTTTGTGCATTACCGCTCGCCCGATTAAATTCTTCAGGACCTGCATGTAGCCTGGATCCAACTAGTAGGTAGCTATCTGTTTTCTTCTGTCGTGGCGTCCGGACTACTTCGTGGATGCGTCGTCTAGTCTCACAATGAGGCAGGATTTTCAGATGCATGCATGATATAGCGGGTGGAGGCGCCAGGTTGCCTGGACAGGCATTTCAGCTCCAGGATCAGCGTGCCATCCATTTTCTTTTTCCTCTTTCGTGAGGGACTAACCGATTGGTAGCTGTCATTTTGCTCTAGCCAGTGCCGGTCGCGCTAGCTTCATTCACCGAGCCACGGCGATCCATTGCTCGATCAATATCATGTGTAGTTGAAGCTGAGCACGGTATACTTCGTCCCTACGGAGTACTAAGCGTCGCTTTTGACATCACAATCTAAAGGATTAGATTAGACCTTCGGGAGGTCGGGAAGGCAAGCACGAGCCATATATCCCCGACGGCTTATGCCTAAGCTATATACCCCAACTATCCGACCTTTAGGCCTTCTCCGCAATGGGCTAAAGGTTAGTATTTGCCTTTACGGTTGAGGGTTTTACGACTGGGAAATGTAAGTTCGTCAATGTTACGCTGCAGGATGGCCCGAGGAAGAAACCAATGTGCGCTGAAGAATATTCCCTCTGCCGCCACTGCCACGCCAGCCGTGTCCCTCGAAACCAGGGAAGGGCAAATGTCCGCCGACTATTGATAGGTCCAGAAGAAGAAATACCGACGGAAATACGCCGCATGTCGGTATGTGAAGTAGGTCGGTGCCTTTTGTCGGGGACCAACTTACCCAAACCAGCAACATTATTGGGGTCCCTAGGAAGAATTTGCAGATTAGACCCATGCTAGAAGAACAGCTACTGCAGCAGGTGCATACCGGCAAACAATATAAAAAAAAGCACGAGCCATTCAGGATGCCTCGCTCACTTCCCAACTCGGATAAGCAGCCTAGTGCCATGCACGCTAACCAAACCATGCAGCTTTACTCGTGGGATTATTTTCGCCCCATCAGCCAATGATCGCTTCGACGCGCACGTTCTTCTGCCCTTTCACGTGCGGTGTGACTTGACTGCATTGTCACATCGGGTACTTTCTCTTTTGGCAACCAGTCGTGTTTCTGCGGGGTAAAAGTACCCCCAGGTACCTTGTACATGAGGCTGGCATATGTCAATGCTTGTCAGGGCCTAGGCTCCTTGCTCCTTGTTTGTCCGCGGGCTGAAGAATCCTCTGGCTCATTGTGACAGGCTTCATTGTTTGCCCTTCTGCATGAAGGGCTATTCACCGCTGTCTGGATTTTTATTCCCATGTTTAATAATGTTGCCACTTTATTGCTTGTGATCGGGCAGATGTGACGCGTCGCGCAGTCAATACCTCGGGATGGCTGTACGTCTGCGTGCGCGTTTCGATATAGAAACAATTATTGCAAGCATATAATTCCGCTAAGGACATGACTGCGGACCTGCATAATTGTGGACAATAATATATGCCACTATAGGCTGTTTACTAACTGCGTTTGATATCCACCACGGGCTCCAATATATAGTATTGGCGGCTAGTAGTAAAAGATACATCCACATGTATATTCTTGCTTCATTCCTTGCGACTAGAGTATAATTCTAGATACTATATCTCATTTACTATTTATGAGAAGGGCAATTGAACACTGCCATCCATTGAATTATAATAGTTGAGATGTGATACTATACCCCTTACCGATTCAGCATCATCATGGCTCACCTACCTATAGTATAGACATGTAATAACAATATTTACAATCTGTTTTTTTACAAAAATACATCAATTTTTTGTGCTACTATCTTAACAGAGCCAAGATGGATGAACACTGTAGTATAAGATCAGGATCAAATTAGTAAATATGTAATAAACTCGGCACTTAGTGATGTATGTGGGCAATTCGATTTGTTGTAGCCCACTGACGCTCGACTGGAAAGGCCTCTTTCTTCCGTCGTTTAGCTAGTGAGTAAGGCCATATACCTAATCATATCGTCGTTTCTACAAACTCATTGACCGGGATTGGGAATAGGAGTATTTGGATTTCACTGTTTGCACATATGGTTCGCTATTCTCTATGCTCATAATATATATTCCGGCGCAATTAACAACAAAGACATCATCCCCCAAAACTCAAATAAGCAGGAAAACGACAATGATGAAGGAACTGTTTACTTGCGAACAATAGAGAGCTTAACAGTTCTAGTAGTTGGGCTTTATATCTTGTGTCACTGTACGTCTGCCCACTTACATTGGCTATTATCTAGATTAAACCCAAACACGGATGAGAAATTTGTGAAAGGCTTCTGGGAAACATCAATAGCAGACAATCCCAGGTACAACAAATTAAATGGTAAGCTATAAAGCTACGAATATCAGGCAAACGGAGTATAGGAGCATACAGCATGGATGAACCACGTAGTTAGCTGACGCTAAGATTCAAGAGTAGAGAGATATGCCTGGTGTGTGTCTAATAAGGTGGCATGAACAAAAGCTGATTTGCTTTAATGATATACTCTATCACACTTGAAATATATAAGATAAAATCAAAACCTGAAAATGATAATCACTCGTGCTCTTCAAGGTGATCTCGACTTGGCAGATAGCAGAAGCGACACCAATTCATCCTTGTCGACGTCCTCTCTTGGATTCCTCTTGGCAGCTTCAATGTGCTTCTCAGTGATAGGAATGTCAGGATGATCCTCAAAATATATGTCGATTGTGTTTAAGCTTGCTCTTTCCACGATCAACTCGACTGCTACCTCGCTGGTGGGCAACGGAATCCGGTGCTGCATGCAGGAGCGAATAAAATCGTCGAAAGGGCGACACGAGACATAGTCTTGCCGGGGCAAAGATGGGAGCCTCTCCAGCATTTGATCCGACACATCAAAGCTGACATATCGTAATAGAGTTCCTGCTGTCTGAGCCAGAGATGCTGGGTCAATTTCAGGATCCTGCCATATTGCTTCCCAGACTGTGCCAAGGTTGAGGTCACGGCCTTGTTCCAGAAACAATTCTAGAGCCGTGATGTTGTGGTCTCTCCCAATTACATTGTTATTCTGAACAGCATAGATCAGGATATCCTCTGTAATTGGCACAGCTTCCGATCCCAGCTGGGACAGAAGCAAGCGTATGACAGAGTCGGAACACCACCCCAACAATGAGGCTTTTACCACTTCTTCTGTGATCAAGACTTGATTCTTCTGTCTATCGAGCAGGATCTTCATTGCACCCCTGTCTTGTGCAAATTCGGTAGTCATATTTGACGTCACTGGAAAATCAGGATTTCTCTTGTGGACAACTTTCAGAGCATGGCTGTTACCAGCGACTGTTTCCACCAACCATTCATCCACTTCCACAAGCCGCCGGTCGAGAAGCATTCCCAGCACCCATCCACTGCGCACGTCACTTTCAGTTGCTAATTTCTGGATCATTCTCATAAATGGAAGGCAATCACGCCGCCGATCCAATAACAGGCTCATGGAGCTAGGGAGAGTACATGCTGCTTCCAACAGTCGATCAGTTACCGGAATATCTGGCCATCTCTCCAAGATGAATGCGAGTACATAGTCCGCTGTGGAAGAACCTGCGTCGGCAACAGATATCAATGCATCTTCTGAAACTGGAAGACTGCGACCTAGAAGATCAAATAGATATTCTATCAAGGTTCGCCCACGCCAATGATTATCAGCTACAGAGCATAAAGTCTTCCCTGTGATGGGCAGATCAGAACCACCGGCATTGTTCACCAGGAGCTCCAACATTTCCCGATCTTGATACCGAGCAGCGTCGCAAATTATTTGCTCGGTGACCACAAAGCCCGCTTGCTGTCTGCACAGGAGCATCTTCATCATTGCCAAACCTTGGGAAGGGTTTTGCGCAATTCTCCGAATAATCTCCTCATCAACGATAGTGTCCTGCCCACATTCATCAAGCAACATATCCATGATTTCACTGCCTTTTGAGTTGTTTCCTGCAGCAGCTAAGAAGATCTCTTTATCAATATTTGTTTCCGGTTCTCGCCTGGCTAGAAGTAGCCTCACTGTCTGTGGATCGCATGCAAACCTGGCAGCTGAAATGAGCACATTCCGGGTGACTCGGATTTCCTCGCCACGCTCCTGAAGAAGCAGCTCCATTGTTTCTTTCTTTCCCCTTCCAAAAGCTTTAACCCAATCCTCATCCAACTTAATATTATTTTTTACCTGCCTATTCAAAATGGCAATCATGGCACCAATATTCAGCGGAACCACATCCTGCTGCACCAATGATGGGGTAAGTCTTATATCCATGCCACACTTTTCTAGAAGCAAGTGCATGGTTTTGTTGCCGCAGTGTATATTCTCCAGCACAGCTCTTAGCAACTTTCCGGTTATCTTGATGCCCATTCTCTCTTTTCGATCCAGAAGGCAGCTCATTACTGTGTGGCCCGACATCCAATTTTTAGCTGCTCTTTCAAGTAGTCTCCCATCAATGATCTTAAGCGACGCTCTTGATCGATCATGCAAAGCACCCTTGTCCCAGAGTAGGTCCAAAATCATTGTTAACTTCTCTTTGTCGGACTCGGTGGCGCGAATAGTCCTCAGCAGGCGTTCAGACACTCTTAGAGGGATCTCATCCACTTTATGCAGCAATACTTCTAGAATTTCCAGATGGCCTCCACGCGCGGCTGCTAGCAAAGCATTGTTCCGTTTATCAAGTTCTGATCCCATTGGATTCGCACCTTTTGCAAGCAGCAGCTCAACTGTGGGTTTGAGTCCTCTTTGTGATGCGGAATACAGAGGCGATTGTAGCTCCTCGAATGACTTATCCCACACCAAATCAAAATCAAAATCAACCAAACGAATCCAATTGAAGTAAATATCACGCTCTGTGAACAGGCAGTCAACCTTTTCCTGGAGACCGGTGTAATTGGTATATGATTCCCCTACTTCTGCCAGATGACGGTCCCAATATTTCGCAGCGTAGATAAGTAGTGGCTGTCGCATGGCGGTGGTTTTGTTTAGGATCTCGGTAGTGTCGAGCAGACAGTCGATCGTTCTGTTTGCTATGAGATCATGACCAGATATGGCCGAGAATTGATACCAGTGACCCTCAGCTTCGTTGCGTACTAGAAACTCCTTCACGGAGAAATGAGCCAGCCTCACAGTATCATCAGAGATGCTCACAGTGACTAGGGAAGTAGTGCAGGTGGTCACAACGTCTTCTGGGAAGCGGAAAGACACAACATCCGCGATAGTCTTCAGGTTCAGCGGGACGACAGAGAAACTGAGCCATATCAATATCGTGCGGGCTGCTTCCCGATCATCTGGTGGTATCCTCTCGAGGGTATCTCTATAGGTATCCTCGAGTGTGACTGGAATAGAATCAAGAGCCTTCTGGAATGCTTCCTCGGTTTTGGACTTTTCAAGCCGCTTTATCTGCAACTCAGCCCAGCGAAAGCGCCTGTTCAATCTTACGTATTAATCATATTGTACATATTCATTGACAAACGCAACATACCGTTCCGGAATATCAAGCAATCTCTCTAAAGTCTGGTTTTTAATCGACTCGCCCCATTCACATAACCTGCCATGGGCAACTTGAGCACGGACGAAAGTTTCCACATCTTTCCCCAGTCCAGTCTCCAGATCCACGCTTTGATAGTGCTCCAGCCTCGAGCGTATATCAGGCTCTGGTCGACTGGTGGCAAGGATGTGCAATCTGGTTTGATGTTTTCCTACCAATTCTTCAAGAAATTGCAAGAGCGGGCTCCGTTCGTCGTCCCCAGTCGCGGGACACTCATCCAGAGCATCGAGGATAAGGAAAGACTCACCCTGAGAATTTTCCAGCACATTGTCGAGGATTTCCGCAAGTCTTCGCTGTTGGGGCTTACTACCTCGATGACAATGTTCCTTCCAAAGTTTGATTATGGATGCAGGAAGTGTTGGCGGCATGAATTGTCGTAATATGGACCTGATCATGTTGTACATCTTCTGTGTTTCGTCATTGCTAAATTGAAAGTACCAGTAGGCATAGTTCCTGGAAGTGTCAGACCTGCAGAATTCCTCGATATCTTGGATGACTGTAGAACAGAGAACCGATTTTCCGCAGCCGACTTTTTTTTAAAAAAGATTAGGTCTGTTTTTTCTTTAAAAAAAAGATCAATCGAACGCACCTGCTCCGTAAAGCCAACAGATCTTTCCGGGCGTGACCTTCCACTCTTTATACTCGGGCATGTTGAGAAACCATTTCCCCGTGTCTAATGCCCGGCGGCTTTGAGTGTTATTCTGGGGATCTGAATAGGATGCCGTGGATAGCCAGTCGAGAATCTCTCGGTCTTGCAAGCCTGCTGATATTGGTATATGTCCTTCTCGAAAGGCTGATATTTAGCGGACATCTTACTTCTAGTGTGCGATTGGATAATCTTCAGCCTTTCAACAGCATCGTCTATTCCGTCGAGCATGCTTTCGGCTTGTTTCCTGTGGTCTGTAGCGATGAGCAAGACCTCATATCTGTTGTTTTGCCAAAGGGAAGGTAGCAATACCTAGAGCTGCCGTAAGATCTGCCCATCTTGAAACAGCCTGCTCTTTCTTTTCGACAGTTTCCTTGAGTTCCTTCAGCGGTTCTTGAACAAGAGCCTTGATACTCCCTCCCACGCGGGCTTCTGAGGTATCAGTCTCTACCACCATATGAAGAACCTCCGTGTGAACCACATACCAGCTTTGCTTTCATTTTCTGCCCTTTTCACCTCTGCCGTGTACTGAAGAACAGCCAAGTAGACTTCAACCAGAGCGTCTTCCAATCCTCGATCGCTTTCTACTTTTCTTTCTCGATATTGGTTGTCAATGATCGCATAGTAGGATAGAATTCCGGCTAGATATTCAGCTGCGTGGAATATGTCGTCACGACGTTCAATGTCATTTTTGATCATCGACAGACCAATCGCAACAATTGACCACGCACTTGATGCTGAGCCTGACTGTTAGTAGATATACATACAAGCTGGAACAAAGGCCCCAATCGGATGACTCACCATAGCCAGTCAGATCATAACATACCAATTTAGAGACAAGTTCGTGTGCCTGCAATGCATGAAGAATGATGTTCTTGGCGGAATCGCGGACGTTGATGTGCCCCCCGTTGCGCTTGCGAATCTTGAGCCCACCCTCCTTGTACTCGCGGTACTTCTCTTCCGTAGTCTTGATGACATTCTCGATGGCATTCGTGATAGGGAAGGGTGTCTCCAAACCCAGAGCCTGTCGGTCTTTCTCATCTAGTTTTTCTCCAGCCACCTCCCAAAGGTTTGCTTTTGCGGGGGTAAAAGATTCGCCATCTGGCATGGACACGTCCAAACCAGCATCTGATACGACCCGATCCGGAGGGGGTTCGGGCTGTTCGGTTGCTTCTCCATGCTTCTCACGGCGATGTCGACTTCCTTTTGCAAAGTGTCGTTTGAACCGTACTCTCGAAAACATTCTAGGAGACCTATATTTGGGCTGTTGTTGCCCTGTCCAAAAGTCGGACTTGACCAGGGTGAAATGAATGAGTTGGAAGGAACGAGGCTGGCAGTCAGCCCCGCTCGCGGTGGTCCGTAGCGAACACCTGGCTTGCATATACTAAGTACTAGTAGCCTCAAGCTAGGCGGCAAAAGTTATTTCCTCATTGGTTTACCTGTGGTCTGCGTCTCATTTTTGCTTTTTCTTTCTCTTTTTTCCCTCCTCATGATGGGATGCTGGAATAACACTTATAGTATTATGCTAGTATACGTATATCTCACATACTTGATCGTGACTTGATGTTGAAGGCCTTTAACTATATGTACTTTTTTGATTTTTGCTGATTGGTTGGGCTGGCCTCATTGTTCATATAGAGAGAGAGAGAGAGAGAGAGAGAGAGATGAGACTACTAGTACCATACTGCAGGAAATGAACCATTTTTAGAGGACATTATATATACTCCTTAAGACCACCTCGAACATAATTTGATCTCGTGTTCCAGAACGACTCATCCCAACCATACCACTATCCCCAAACGGTCACAACACCACTAACAATAAAAATAACACCACCACACACTGATACTAATCTAAAACAATCCCTCCATATCCAAATCCAAAAACTCCGGATTCCCCACCGCCATATCCGCCGCATTCAACACATCATCAATACTAGTATCCAACCCTCCACTCCCCATGCCTCCCATACCTCCTGCTCCGCCGCTACCATCCATCCCCGCCGCGACAGCATTATCCAGCATTTGGTTGATCGTACTCTCCTCTTCGTGGCCACCTGCCCCGGACGTATCCAGGTCCATTTGTCCCGGTCCGCCCACGCCCACACCAAGCTGCATATTCTGAATGATATTGTTCATGTCCAGCTGAGAGGGCGGAGTCAGCGCGGCGTTGACGCGGCGCCATAGCCGCACGATGATTTCCGCGCGGAGGGGGTCCTTTTCGCAGATTTTGGGGACGGATTCGTGCAGTTGGTAGAGGGCGCCGCGGGGTGTGAGGATGGGATTGCGCGGGGGGACTTCTTTGCTCGTATTGGTAGGGTCCATGTGGTGATGGGGGGAGTAAGTGTTTTGGTCGACGGCGAAGGAGTCGGCCAGGGGCGCGCAGATCATGGTAGCTGCGATGTCGAGAGCGAGGTCGCTGCTGCCTGTAGCGTTTGTCGGGGAGGTGGTGGCTTGGAGTTTGAGTTCGTCGATGAGGGCGCATAGTACGCGCATCGAGCCCTGGATGTGGATGCCTGCGATGAATTGGCGGTGAGTGTAGGATTGAGGGGCCATGCTCATGTCGGGGCTGGTGCTCCAGAGGATGAGCGATTGGAAGGTGCTGCGGATGCTGGCGAGAAGACCGCCGGGGGTGTGGGCGGTCCAGGACTCGAGTTCGCTGCGGTGGGTGCTGCCGCTGCGTTGGAAGGAGAGGTGGGGGTCGAGGGCCTCGAGGATGGGTTTGATGGTATCGTCGGGTTGGCGGGCGCGGACGCTCTTGAGTTGTTCTTCGAGAGAGCGCGCGGTGATGTTTAGCACTGTTCGGTGGATTTCTTTCGCTTCGCCGGAGATGGAGCTCGGGCTTATGAGGGAGTGGAGGGCTTTGAGTGGGATGGAGGGGTCGCTTTCGGATTCCCAGATGTGGTTGCCGAGCCAGTTTAGAGCGAGGATAAGGGATGGGAGGAGGAACGGTTCTAGGAGGTCTGGTGTTGTTAGCTTTGAGGCAGGAGTAGGGGGAAGGGTAGGGGTGCAGGGCTTACATTCAAAGCCGCCCTTGAGGGTGTCGAAGTCTAGTTTTCCTGCTTCGCAGGCTCCTAGGCTCTGGTTGAAGAGTGTTGTCACTAGCAGGTAGAATTCTTGCGGACTGCACGCGGACATAGTCTCCTCGCTGATCCCCTCGGCCATGAATAGGGCGTTGATCCAGGATCCAAGGTTCTTGTTCTGCTTCTCGCTGAGGTCGTCGAGCTTCTGGCTGCAGAAGCCATTCTCGAGCAGTCGCAAGACAAAGGAGTTGCTACCTCCGATTCCCATGTCCTGCGGTCGTAGATCGTACCGGAACTTGAATGTTAGCACGAGCAGAAGAATGCTTCCGAACTCGTCGTAGACTGGTTGGCTCTCGCCTTGGTCCTCGTCCCAGTGCCAGGCGTCTAGCAGAGCGCAAAGTGGTTGTAGTACTTGCTTCAAGCTCCGGAAGAGCAAGATCACATCCAGGGCCTGCGGCCGACGAGAGAGTGAGTTGCAAATGTTTTTCAATGTCATGGTCTCTTTTTGATTGCAGAGATGGTGCATGACCTAAATGCGTTAGCATCGAACTGAACCACAATTTTTGAAGGGCTTACCTCTGTAATAGCACCCACTATCGCACCTGCATTGCCCTCCATCGACTCAATCTCGTTGATCAACTGCTCTGCACGCTCCGGGTTGGCGTTGATCTGCGAGACAAGATCATCCTTGTTGTATGGACCACCGACGGGGAGAGTCTGCATTGGATTCTCGCCCAATAGGCGCTCGATACTAGACTCGGGGATCAGCTTGTGCGAGGCGCAAGCAAAAAGAAACTCTTGTCGCACGTCGGACAGGACCGTGTTGCTTTGCATAGCGAACATCTGTGAGAATGATGGAAAGGTGTTTGGATCTAGCCGACTCAAAGCATGGCTGATGCAAAGCTCCATCGGCAAAGGCAACGAGACAATAGAGGCTGCCAACATGGCCGCAATGAAGGTAGGAAGCTTGTTCACCAGAAACGAGCGGAATAAGAACATTGTTCGGCTAGACTCGTTGCGGTAGCTAGCATTCGATAGGACATCGAACGAAGCTGTTATGAGCTCCTCGATAAGAACTTGGTAATGTCCCTGCGATGGTCAGCTACATGCTGTGATAAACATGAGGGCGTACTCACGCCGTATCTATTTGACAGGAAATTGAGCAGTATGCTGTCATCCACTAAGGGGCGGCCCACAAGCTAGAAACCAGTTAGTAATATCCGAGTAACAGTGCAGCAGCTGAAATACCATCGCATTAATATACACATAAAGACCTGCTCGCGAGTTAATCACAGGCCCGTCCATGACCGAGTCCTCAAACTGAAGCGCGTTAACGTTCACATTCTCCATCATGGAAACATCCAACGCTTTAGACGGAGGCTCTCCAAAAAGATTGAATTCCTTCTGCAAGCTATCCAAGCGGTTACGGAGCGGCAGGGATACTTCCACACAGAGGGGAAGATAGGCCGACAAAGCCTGTCCAAGCTTTATCTTCAACGCTATAAAACCATCAGTAAACCCTAGACACTAGAATAAGACGGTGCAATACCTTCATGCGAATCAGCCGAAAGAACCTCCAAACCCTTAGCAGTCCCCGAAAGCGCAGCAAGCAGAATCCCCAGACTCTCAAACAACGACACAGCATCCGGAGAACTCATCAACCCGCCGGTCTGATGACTCGTATCCAAATGGCTATTATGCCAAGCCACCACAGCCTGGATCCAATCCACAATGGACGCAAAGATACTCAGCGCCTCGGCAAAAGTCTTGAAAGCAGTCCCCGTCGAAACAGAAAGCATAGCGTCCTGAACAACCCTGATATCCGTCATCAGGGTATAACACTTCCGCTTCTGTTTCCCCTGAACAGCCTCCGAGCCGCCAGGCGACTGCAACTTATCATGAATAGACGAATGTTTCAGCAGCGAATTCAACATGGTCGAAGTCCTCACCAGCCCCATCTTGCACAGACAGTCAATATACAAAGGCGGCAGGGGATCCCATTTAATCCCCGTTGCGAGACGGGTCTCCAGCAACACATCCAGCAGCTGAGCCTCAGCAATGGGATAGCGCTGCATCAGCAGCCGCGTGAGGTTCTTGAACTCCGCGGCATCGATCCGGTGGAGCAAACATTGTTGGAGGAATGTCCCCCATTGTTCGGAGGATGTCATGTTCCAGATATTTTCGCGAGATTACCTGGCTGTGCGGAGTGCATAGCAAATAGAGAAAGCTATATATAGGGTTCAAATTACACGTTCACTTGAACACGGCGCTGATGTAGCGTTGGACATCATGCCTTGGCCTCCTTGATAGCGGTTCTTTCCGGGGAAAGCTTCAATCGTTTGTTTGGAACGACGTCGCGGAGGGTCACGTGGCATTATATAATCATTGTCACATGATGTTGTCCATCGAGATTGCCCGTCGAGGCTGAGGTGTGCTTGAAGAGGATGAGAGACAACCACAACATAGTTAGATGTATAAGTGTGATAGCGTCCATGTTTCTAGTATTATATATGCACACATGAGGCCAGTCTGTATATAAAAGGATCCAGACTATGCTCGAAGTCATGTCAAAGCCTATCGGTACCTGCCAAGCACAAGTCTCCGTAATTACAATACCATACACTCCAGTAACCATGAAGTAATCATGTCCGAGCAGAGAGACCCTGTGTAACCATAAGCATCGGGCCTACTACCTAGCTCGAACATGACAGACTTCAAACTACATGAGACACAAGAAACCGAGTTATACCTCAAACAGTATATGCAGCAAACAAAATTGGTGTGCTCGGACGTTCGCCGTTGTTAGTCAAAGCGATCTGGAGCCAAAAATACTCATGATCACAAGTACACAGGCCAATCAAGGCCGACAGATCAAGGGTAAACGGCCGCCCTGGGCGCACATCTAGGGCAAGTCGAACCATGGGACCAAGTTGGGGGCTTGACGGACATCTAATAATCCGGACTGTAGAGTGGGGGATTTTCCACAGAGTAGACTAGATGGGATGGGTGGAGGGAGGGTAGGGCCACAGTGAGAACCACACGAAGTGACTTTCTCTTCCCTCCCCACCCATAAAAAAAGATTTAAGCGACGGAATTAGGACCAAATACCATGTGAGATCTTGTGTGCATTTGGCCCTGAGATTTTTTTTTTTACTCTTCCCCTTGCCGATCTCCCCACCCGAGACGAGGATCTCGGAAATCTGGAAAGGGGACGAGGCCAT